CCAATATTTTATATTGATTTTGAAGCCTCCAAAATCAATATTTTATATTGATTTTGTGGTTGGTTTTTGACATGGTTTTGGAGTCTGGGAATGTGTGCACCCTGCAGTTTTTGGCTTTCAAGTGAAACAGAATTCTTTAAAATATCTTCACCAATCCTTGCAAAAGGATAAGGGTCCTTGAGAAAGGACAGCAATCCTTGCAAAAGGAGTCCTTGGAAAAGGATAGCAATCCTTGCAAAAGGATGGCCAGGGGTGGGCCCAATCATAAGGCCAAGGTTTACACTGACCCTTCCTTGCTTCTGCAGGTCTTGGGTCAGAAACCAGAGCTGGTGGCAGACCTTGGCCAGTATGAAACAGTCAGCAGGGCAGGGGCAGTAGACCCAGCTGGCTTGGTCAAGGTTGCACCCCTTGTGAAAGGGTTGTTGGCTGTTTGCCCCTCAGCCTCTGTTGCTCCAGGACCTTTGAGGCAGGCTTTGCTGTCCATGCTTACTTCAATGCCAGAAGTTAACAAGACCAAATGGAATGGCAGTACCTGGAGCAACTTGAAGCAAGATAGGTTGGCCACAATCTTCTTCCACATCAGAAAGCTTGCAAGGGACCAAGACCAAATGAGGCTGTGTGCCAGCAAGCTGAATGCAAGTTCCTTTCTGCAGTTGCAGGAGCTGGTAAAGATGGTCAAGCTGCCTGAAGAAGACCATCAGCCCTTGAAAAAGGGTGAAGAAACCCCCTTGCAAAAGGGTGAGTCCTTGAAAAAGGATGAGGATGCAGTTTCTCTGGACTCATCAGGCATTCCAAAGATGTTTCTGACACCAGAGAAACAAGAAGAGAAGCATCCAAAAGCCAGCTCTGCTTCCCATGCCAAATCATGTATGATGAGAAGGGAAGGATCCTTGCAAAAGGAAAAGGAACTCATGCCTTGCAAAAGGCATTGGGGTATGGCAGCAAGCCTTGCAAAAGGCCTGCATCCCTTGAAACTAAAGTGGAAGGAACCCTTGCAAAAGGGAAAAGCCAACCCCAAGGGGTGACAAAGTCCCTTGGGAAAGGGAAGAAAGCCCTTGAGAAAGGGAAGAAAGCCCTTGAATATATCTGTGATGAGATCATGAAGTCCTTGCAAAAGGACAAGATTGGCAAAGAGGAAGCCTTGCAAATGAGACAGGTGCTGGTGAACAATTTCCCTTGACCCTTGGACCTTTGAGCCCTTGGGAAAGGGTAAGCATCCACAAAGAACCCTTGCAAAAGGGTTTTATAGCCCTTGTAAAAGGGCAAGCCCTTGCAAAAGGGAATTTTTAAAGAACCCTTGCCAAAGGGTGTGGAGAAGAAAGCCCTTGCAAAAGGGTGCATGTATATAGAAAGCAGCCCTTGCAAAAGGGTGTGTACAGAATGCAGCCCTTGCAGGTTGTATATAGGCCAGTTTTAGATAAATGAAGAAATTACAAAAAAAATATGTTAAAAATAAGTAAATAGACAAATTTATTAAAACAACTAAAATAAATATAAATATGTTATTATTAAACCAACATATGAAAAAAAAACATGAAGTAAACTCATGAGAACTGTTTGAAAATAGTTTTGAAAACATGCATATTGACATGTGTATGTATATATATATATGTATGTTTTAATATATATATATATAATGTGTTTGTTTAGTTTCACCTCTAACCTTGCACACCTTTATCTACCTATAGCTATCTATCTTGCCACTACTGTCCTATACTTGCAACCCTTTAATCTTCTAGATCTGGCTTCCAGTTACCTATATAAATGCCCATATGTGCAAACCTAGCACCACCACACTTCCTTATTTTTCTCACCAATGAGATATACTTCTTTTCTTGTTTTCTCATACCTTCACCCACCTAAAGCAGTTTTCTATTTTAACCATTAGTTTGCCTTTTCATGTCTACCATTCCTTTCCATGCATATTTCCTGTATTTGCATGATATATAGCTTTTTGTTTAAAACATGTTGCTCCATACCATGCATATACATATTTGTTATATGTGTATATTTGCACATGTCTTATCTTTTGTTCCTTTCCCACTTCTTCTTTCCTGTGGTGTTTGTCTCTACCCTGCCCCTTGCAAAAGGGTAGCCCTTGCAAAAGGGTGTTCCTTGTATTTCCTTTTGTGCCATGTTTGTTGTCCATATGTTTTTGTCTCTTTTCCTATGCTATGCTAAAGCAAACAAAACATGTTTAGTTGTTAAAACAGGCAAACTAAACACATGAACATGTCCTGCCTGCAGCCATTTTTGGTTCTGAGCCTAGCAGCTATGAGTAGGAAGAAGGAGAAGGAAGATGTGGACATGGAGGAGGAGGAGGAGGAGGAAGAAGAGGAGGAGTGGGAGGAGGATGAACCTTGGAGAAATTCCAAGGGAAGGAAGACTGGTGGGGGCACCACCTCTTGGGCTAGGCAAGCCAGAAGAGCTGCCAAGCAAGCCAAGAGGGTGGTGATGTCCACTGGCAAGCCCCTTGAAAAAGGGGAGGAAGCCCTTGCAAAAGGGAAACCCCTTGAGAAAGGGAACAAGAACAAAGCCCTGGCAAAAGGGACACCCCTTGAGAAAGGGAAAGCCCTTGCAAAAGGGCAAAATGAAGCCAGGTTCCAGGAGCTGAAGGACAAGCTGACTAAGAGCCTCAAAAAGGGGAAGCTTGGTCCCAGGCTGGAAACTGGCACACCCCTTGAGAAAGGGACAGGTGCAAGCAGCAGCAATGCTGCACCCCTTGAAAAAGGGAAAAAAAACCTCTTGAAAAAGAGGAGGCAACAGCCCTTGAAAAAGGGCAATTCCTTGAAAAAGGAAATGTTGCCAAAAAGGTGGCAGTTCTGGAGTCAAAGACTGCCACCAACAAGCAGGCAAAATCCCTTGCAAAAGGGAAGGAGACTGCAGCCCTTGAAAAAGGGTCAGAAAAGAAGCAGTCTCCTGAAGCCCAATCAGAACCTTTGGCTGTGTTGGTTGATTGGCACCATTGCCTGAAAAATGGTCCCCAGGACACTGTGCTGGTCCAGGACCTCATGGCCCTGCAGAAGCTCCTTGACAAAGGAGTGGAGGTGCATGTGCTCTCCTTCTGTGGGGCCAAGCAGGCCCCCAAAGTTGAAAAGGAAATCTGGGACAAGCTCCCAGATCTCATTGACCAACTTCACTGGTGGGGAACCTGCACCAGTCGCACTGGGGTGGGGGGCAAGGCAGAGTATGCCACAGAGTGGGGCTGCCAGGTGGCCTTTGATGATTCAAAGGACATCTTGCAAGAGCTGGGCTCATGGGGTGTCAAAACCTATGGCATCCAGACACCCAGAGAGAGCCATGCATGGATGCCAGAAAACTCCAGGTTTGCATCCTTTGCAGATGCAGTGAAGCAGTTCATCAGAGATTACAATCTTTGAGACTGCTTCCAGCCCTTGCAAAAGGGTGCTCTGCAAAACCCTTGAAAAAGGGTATGGCTCTCACATGGCAACCCTTGAAAAAGGGTAGGTGTCTAGCCCCAATCCTTGCAAAAGGATAACCCTTGAAAAAGGGTAAGTGTCCCCACCCCCAAGGATAACCCTTGAAAAAGGGTAGGTGACTGGCCCCAATCCTTGCAAAAGGATACCCCTTGAAAAAGGGATGTCCCACCCCAAGCCTTGCAAAAGGATACCCCTTGAAAAAGGGACAGTGTCTCACCCCAACCCTTGCAAAAGGATAATCCTTGCAAAAGGATCAAATAAGAGCAACCCTTGCAAAAGGGTCATGTGGCTCAGGTCTACACACAGCATTTGCAATAACAAATGCATGTATTTACACACACATACATATACAATATAACATTGTGTGTTTCTGTTTGTTGTGTGCTAACCTGAGCCATAGCCCAGCCCTTGCAAAAGGGTCACTTGTAGCTGCAGCCCAACAGTGGTTTGTACAGAAGCTACCAAATGTGTAGCAAGCAGCAAAAAAATGAAATAAAAATAAATCAAAATAACTAAATAATTAATGTATTAAATATAAATACATGCAACTTTACACAACTTGTTTACACAACTTGTTTTTTAAATTAGAAACCTTTGCCATGGACATATGCCTTGTGAAAACCTGATGTTTTTTTGAGTTTTGCATGGACCCTAAAACAACCAAGCAGGGAAACACATATACTACTGAAAAAAAAAGGCAATGGAATAAAGTCTTTCCCAGAATGTCAACCCCTTGCAAAAGGGGCACCAAATTAAACATTATCCCTTGCAAAAGGGACACCACACACATTCAAGATTTAAGGTGTCAAGGTTCATTTTTGTAAACTGATATGTTTTCTCAAATGCTGTTTGGTGTCTGTTTCAGGCTGCAGGCAGATGATTATGTTTCTGTTGACTCTGCAGTTTCTTGATCCAAACAAATTCCACAATGATATTTGAAACAACATAGAAACACAGAGTACTAAACTGCTTCACCCAAAATTAAAAGCCAGTGAATTCATACCTGAAAAAACATGAATTAAATTTGATTTATATATATATAATAGGTTAAGATGCAGATGGGAAAATCCTTACTTGCAGAAATAAGTGTTCAAATTATTTATTTTAAGAGTCAGACACAAATAGTATCTGGAATCTATCTCAAATTATACAATATTTTTTTTTAAAAAAATCCAGTATAGTTTCAATATAGTCCAATACAGGTTTGACAGTGAAATGTTGCCTTACTGTTTTGTTGTGTACAAAAAAGCATCAAAAACTATTTAACCTATTTGTTTTGGTTTTGAAAAGGTTTATAAATTAAAAACTATGGTTTTAAAAATGTTAGTGCCAATCCAATCCTATCCAATTCTATCAGTTTATTTGTTTTTTAACAGGTTCATCAAAAAAAATCATGGTTTTGAAAAAAAAACTGAACTTTGATGAAATTTGATGAAATTTGATGAAAACCAGGTTTTCATCAAATTTCATCAAATTTCATCAAAAAAATCATGGTTTTGAAAAAAAAAACAGAACTTTGATGAAATTTGATGAAATTTGATGGAATTTGATGAAATTTGATGAAAACCTGGTTTTCATCAAATTTCATCAAATTTCATCAAAGTTCAGTTTTTTTTTAAAATTCATTTGAAAAAAATCAACAACCAGTGATTGAAACCAGATTTAGATTTGCAACACCTTGAAAAGGTTGAGATTAATGTAACCAATGTTTGTTGAACATTGGTTTTGTTATTGCATTTATATGTGTTGTATGTTTGTTTGGTTAGTAACATCAATTTGTTTTGGTTTGGAAAATATTGTAAAACACGTGTTTTGCTTAAATAACATAAATGTTTTATCTATGTTTGTTTTATATTGTTTTGGTTTGTGTTAATGTATTGCTTTGGTTTGGTTGAAAAATCACGTGTTTTCTTCCACATGCAAGATAATTTAATATTAAATATTTAGTATAATTTAATTAATAATGTACATTTATATATATATATATAGATATAAATATATAGTTATTAATGAACATGCTTGTGTATGATATATGCATGGTGTTTTTTATTTGTTATGTAGTTTTGACTAGAAAACTATTTATATGCCTTAATAATATATTATATGTTTGTTTTAAAACACACACATGAACTAAACCCTTCATGCAACTGCAGCCTTTTTAAACTTCAAACACTTTCAGGAAGAAAATGCCAATTTCCAAGATGGCAAAACCCTTGAAAAAGGGAATTTTGAAAAACACGCCCTTGCAAAAGGACAAGCCCTTGCAAAAGGGCAAGCCCTTGCCAAAGGGCAAGCCCTTGCCAAAGGGCAAGCCCTTGGGAAAGGGCAAGCCCTTGCCAAAGGGCAAGCCCTTGCCAAAGGGCAAGCCCTTGGGAAAGGGCAAGCATCTCCCCAGCAGTGGCAGCAAGTCCTTGAAAAAGGGCAAGCCCTTGAAAAAGGGCAAGCTGTGTGCTAAGAACCTCAACAGACTTGGCAACCTTTCTTTGCAAGAGAAGGTTGCTGCAGTTTGTGAGGAGCACACTGATGAAGAAGATGCTGCCAAGGCCTTGAAAAAGGCCATGACTCCTGCAGAGAATGCAAAGGTCTGGAGCCAACACCAGACCCACTTGAAGAGAAACCCCTTGAAAAAAGGGGAGCATGATCAGAGAGGCAAGCTGGAGAAGGGGTTTGCAGCTGCCCTCTGGCTCTTGAAAAAGAGCTCTGCAGGAAGCAGATTTCTCCATGTCAAGGAAGAGAGCACCTTTTGGAACAAAAGGGAGAAATGGAGCAGCAAGAAGGAGATGTTGAAAATATGGGAAGAAGATGAGTTTGAAGCTCATCTGTCCTCAGGCAGGATCCGCTGGAGAGAGAGTCCCACCACCTGGGGTGTGTGGGAGCACTCAGATACCCAAGACCTTGAGAAGAACTTCAAGGTCAGTAAGGGTAGAACCACTGCCAGGGCTGTGGAATATGATCCTGCTGAGCAGGAGGAGGAAGCCTTTGACAGCCTTTGGCAGGCAGATGGCCACACTGGGGTGCTGGGCCTCTGCCAAGATGGAGCCAAAGGATCCCTTGGAAAAGGGAACACAAGCAAAGGCCTTGGAAAAGGCCAAGGCCTTGGAAAAGGCCAAGGAAAAGGCCAAGGCCTTGCAAAAGGCCAAGGGAAAAGCCAACAATTGGCCATCAAGGACAAGGAGGTGAAGGATGAGGAGCAGGATGGGGAGAAGGATGATGAAGATCCTGTGAAACTCCTCAAGAGAGCCAAAAGAGCCAGGGATGAATGCAGCAAGTGCATCAATGAACTGGAAGAGACCTTGCAAAAGGCCAAAAGCAGGCTCTCAAAGATGGCCAAAGAGGAAATTGAGAAGAAGCTTCAGGCCTTGAAAAAGGTCCAGGACAAGTTGAAAGACTTGCTCCTGAAGAAGCCAAGTCCACCTACCTTGAAAAAGGCATTGGTGGAATGTGCCAATATGTGCAAGCAAGCCAAGGAGGAGGCCAGGAGCCAGCAAAGCTTCTACCAGCATGTGATCCTTGCAAAAGGATAACCCTTGCAAAAGGGATGCTGGCTTGCACAGCCCTTGCAAAAGGGTTAGTGGCACAGGCATTCCCTTTGACCCTTGCAAAAGGGTAACCCCTTGCCAAATGCTTCCTGGCCCTTGCAAAAGGGCAGTCCCAACACTTGCAAAAGGGTGCCAGCCCTTGCAAAAGGGTCATGCAAGCCCCTTGCAAAAGGGTAGTTTTTTTAAATCCAATTTTGGTAGATAGAAGCTAGGAGAACTTCTTCACATGCCTAGAAAAAAGTTTGCTGGCTGCAGCTTGGGGAGATGGTGAAGGGAAATGCATGCATGGAAAGGCATGTATAGGTTGAGGTGACATGCATGCCTCTGCAGCTGTTTTGCTTCAAAACTGTAGGTTTAGTTTAGTAGGTAGTAGAGTAGGAGATTAAGCCCTTGCAAAAGGGCAAGTTCCAACCCTTGCAAAAGGGAAGCAAAGCCTTGCAAAAGGCAAAAGGCACACCTTTGCAAAAAGGTATAGCAAGCCTTGCAAAAGGCAAAGCCTTGCAAAAGGCAAACCTTTGGAAAAAGGTAGAGGAAAGCCTTGCAAAAGGCAAACCCTTGCCAAGGACACCCTTGCAAAAGGGTCAGCCTCTCACCCCTTGCAAAAGGAAACCCTTGCAAAAGGGTTGCTGGCTCGCACAGCCCTTGCAAAAGGGACACCCTTGCAAAAGGGCAGGTCTTACCAAAAGCAGCCTGGCTAGAGCCCTTGCAAAAGGACAATCCTTGAGAAAGGACTGCTTCCACACCCCTTGCAAAAGGGTTGCAGGGAGAGACCTTGCAAAAGGTCCAGCCAAGTGCTCTTCTGCCTGAGCCTTTGTGAAAAGGCACTTCCTCAGCCATGAAAAATGCAAAGAGGCTGAGAGGGTGGAAGAAGGATATGGATCTGGGTGCAGACACAGAAGGAGAAACCCCATCCACAAGTTCTGCACCCAGCAACTTGGCTACAAAGCTATTGTCCCTTTGGGCACATGGCAAGCTCTCTGCAGTGGAAGTGCAA